TATATGGTGAGTTAAACATGTTCTTAAAAGTTAAAATCTCCTGAATATCACTAGTACTTGTTTTAGGTAACACCACAAAATAATAATAAAAGTACTACGTACAGAACGTTTTCTTCGCGAAGGTATTTAAAAAATGTATGCTCAATGTCGTTAACAATACAGTGTAATTTAGCTTGTCTCAATGTCGAGCACCATTTTGTAGACAAACGTCAGTGATCGGTACTGCGCCGAAGCCATAGGGCTGACTTCGGTAAACTACTGGATTTCTGGACAAAACCTTTCTCAAGATGATCGTACTTTTTTTATCCAGCCGCTGCTATCTCTCGAACATAATTAAGTCCTATTTTATCGTTTTTATCGATATCCAATTCCTTCATCTTAGATTCCACTTTTCATAACCAATACTTGGACATCTTTTTTTTGTTCCAGTAAATACATTCGTCAAGTGGTAAAGGAGACAGAAGGCAAGTTCCTTGTGTTCGCGCACCACCGAAACATGATCGATGCGATCTGTTCTACGCTGGACGAGGAGCGGGTCCCGTACATCAGCATCGTCGGCTCCACGCCTCCTGCCAGCCGAGCGGTAAGCAGCTGACGATCCTACCAATATTATAAAGGCGAAAGTTTGTGTGGATGTTTGTTACTCTTTCACGCAAAAACAATGTCACTATTTTGTTGCAATTTCTTACAAAACTTGCGCGCAAAAAGCAAATCTAGTATGTAAACCATCAAACTTCTAACGCTCGTAACTCAGTTCAGACTAAGTTTAGAGGTATACATGTCATAGTAAGTTTGGTTTATTACACTATTTTGTAATCAAAAAACAAAGTTTGGTCGATGGCCGCGCGAAAAAAAAAAGACGCCACCTTCCATACAAAATCTGGCATTGCCATTTTACAGTATGATTGTTTATAACCCAGATTAACATATAGGCTATAATTTATGACGATCTGTGACAAACTAAATTTCACGCGGGTGAAGCCGCGAGCAAAAGCTAGTATGATTATATATTTTTTAAGCTAAATAAGCTCGTGTTACGAGTGAGTTCACCACAATAGTCTAGCTAGGGACGGCGCGGCGGGGTTCGAACAGCGTTCCTTATGTTAGTTAGTTAGTTTATTTAGCGTTCCTTATATCACGAGTCGGCCCGTCCTACACCTTCACCTTTCGGCTATTGTCGCTTCATTATAACTGATTGCCAATGAGGATTTTCGCGAATGAAAGATCCGCTAGATGGCGGGACGTGGATGTGGGGTCTGACTGCTGCGTAATTGGTGGATTTTGACATCTGTCAATGTCATGTCAAAAATAACCAATCATGCAGCATTTGGACCTCGCGTCTACGTATTGCCATCTGACGGATTTATCATTCGCGAAAACCCTCATTCAGATCCTCTTTTTACCCGATTGCAGCAGGAGGAGGGTTAAATTTTTCTATCAAAATCAAAATCCAATTTTTTTCTTTATTTGTTTAGACTAATTAAATTAGTACTTGCAAATCGTCAAATGCTCTTAAGGAGCCTATACATGTCTCATTATTTTTTTGCCCTACCAGCGCTTCGAGACAAACATTTGGCAAGTGCTGAGAAGAAGCGCCGCAACAAACTCAGTCACCACTGTCTGCCGGTTTAAAAATATAACCATACCTTTAAAAATATGGCCATACCTTTAGGCCTAGGATGTGCACTACGATACCTACGATAGACTCATCGATTTTGCACAATAAGCTCATATATTTAGCGTCTAAAATCGCCGAAAATAATTTATTATGGCGCCCATCCTTACCCGGCTAAATCACCCTAGAGTCGAGGTGTGACCTATCTTGCAACGGGATGTATGTCGGCTTAGAGTAGGCGCACACCGTTGATTTTTAGTTGGCCGATAGTTGTGCCCGATTTTAATTTGTATGAAGAATCGGCCAAATCGAATCGGCGTTGTGTGCGCATTCCCATACATGCCCATACTGATCAACTGCCCGACTAGACTATCGGCCGACGAAAAATCAACGGTGTGCGCCTACTCTTACTTTGCTATTTTATAACCTTGTGCTATCCTCACAGGATAGCACATAGCTCGTAGAGACGACGGCCGTTGGGGCAGGAAAGTTCTCGAGTGGCGACCACAAGCTGGAAGACGTAGCGTGGACAGGCCTCCTACTAGGTGGACCGACGATCTGGTAAAGGTCGCGGGAAGAGCCTGGATGCGGGCAGCGCAGGACCGTTCATTGTGGAAAACCTTGGGGGAGGCCTTTGTCCAGCAGTGGTCGTCATTTGGCTGAATCGAACGAACGAACCATATTTTCTCACCACTAAATATTATCCCTGCAGGAGCTGGTAGACCGCTTCCAGCACAGTGCGTCGTGCCGCTGCGCCGTGCTGTCCGTCACGGCCGCTAACTCCGGCCTCACGCTCACCGCTGCCAACCTGGTTCTATTCGCGGAGCTTCATTGGAACCCGGGGGTAAAACTTAGCAGTAGAGTATAGCTCTACGAGGTGTTATAGTTTGTCTATGGATGGCTTTTATTTAATTATTTATTTTATTTGGGAAATCAACGGCGATACATTACTGGTAATATTATACAGTATAGTATACATTGAATAAAACTTACAGCTAATTACAGATTTCCACAGAATATCATATTGAGTTGGAAATGTCGAAAGGTTTAAATAACCACATAACTATTACAAATTATGCCTCCAACAACCGTTTAATGTGTCTACTTTGCACATAAAGAAGGAATTCAGCATAATAGTATTCATAGCGTTCGGTCTTGAGCTTTACGTTTGATCTTGCTCCAAGTCTTGCCGATTTTCGTCGCCTCGTCTGCTACAGTGCGCTGCCAATATACTTTCATATATCGTCGTTGAAGTGATAATACCTCCAACTGCAGTTATTATTTTATTTTATAGGAGGTGGAAAAATACGTGAATATTACATGCGCATAAAGCAGCTATTTCCACAGAGTTTTATTGCTATATAAAAAGAAAATATCGGTTAGAAGAAAAATTTCGCATGGAAAAAGTCCCAAAAAGTTTTTTTAAGCCCATCGCATTAAAAAAAAATAGTCTTAAAAAATGTTAGGAGGTACATATTGTCACTTCAACGACGATATTGAACCAGCAATCACGTCACTTATCGATCCACTTGCGTAGATCCTGACGCAAGCGGAAGCGCGTGCGCACCGTATCGGCCAAGTTGGCGGCGTGTGCGTGCGTTACCTGATCGCGCCCGCCACCGCCGACGACGCCATCTGGCCCATGCTGCAGAACAAACTCAATGTGAGCACATTCATAATAATAATAATCTGTATCCCCACGCAAGCCTTATAAAGGACCGGGCCACTTTTGACCCGTGAGCTCCAAAGCGTACAAATAATAATAATAATAATAATCATTTATTGTTTTAAATTATTATTTGTTATTTACTCTATATTGTTTTAAACCAGAGATGTTATGGATTTTATACGTAACCGTAACTGAAACTATCGGATATCCGCGCCGGCGATGGAGATATGCATGCGTTGGTGTGGTTGGAAATTTTAGGGAGAAATATGCAAAGGCCCACCCAACCTATCTTATCTTACACTGTCTATACATTCTATTGCAATTAAACTATTTGTAGTGTCGATGCATTTTATAACTGACTACTTCTCAATGGCCCCTAATTTTTTTTCTTGCACTAAAAATAAAATTTACTTTAACAGGTATTAAACGACGTAGGACTAAGTCGAGATACATTCGAAGACAGCACTTTGAAACACCAGGTAAGAGACTATTAAGCTATTAATAAATACAAACAATAATTATAATTATTATTGTACTGCAAAACTCGTTAAGATTTCGAGATAAATGTGACCTCAAGGTCAACTTGTTAATGTCTGTCTGGCGTATTGTGTGTATATTGTTTTTGTGTAAACAAACCTGCCTTACCGATACCTTGCCTTTTAGGAAAGTAAAAACAACATGGCTCAGTATCTAAGCCCGATCAGCAAAAACAAGAATGACTACATACCTGGCACCAACATAAGAAAAGGCACTCTTAAACCGGATACATCAAAAAATCAAATGAATGGACAAACATCCAGTTTAAATAGTCAATTGAATTGTCAAACGTCAAACGGCGAGAACACAGATGACGTCATTACTCAATTTCACATGGAAAATGACATCACAATGCATGAAATCAGCGCCATCGAAGAGTGTTTCTTGGACGACGACGAAGACGATGCTTTATTAGCCAACTTAGATTTATGATATCAAGGAGTCTGTGATTAGTTATTTAATAAATTATTTTTAGTACTTTTGTGTTTTCGTTCCACTAACACTTAAGGCCCAGAACAGACGGTGAATCGCAACTGCAACGAAACTGCAACTGCTAGTTACTTTTGAGTTGCATCTAAGTGTCTGCCATAGCGTCCGTTGAGAGACCACACATGACGCGACCAGTTTGAAACTTTCAGTTTCAGTTTCATTCATCAGAATCATCACAAAGTTGCAGTTTCGTTGCAGTTGCGTTTCACCGTCTGTTCTGGGCTTAAGGTTTGGGCTGAAATTTCGTTCGTTCGTTCGTTTCAGCCGAATGACATCCACTGCTGGACAAAGGCTGGACTGAAGTTTACGAGGTTATAAGTTCCTTATACCGTCAGTATAGATGACCCACGCTGAACTGTCCCACCAAACTTAATGACAGGGGGCGCTACCATCGTTCAACTATATGGTGTCCAACATGGCAAAAATCGGAACCAGAGATTCCTGTATTGACGGTGGCGCCCCACTGTCAATGTCATGGATAGGACAGTTCAGTATTTTGGAACTATACCATAGCTGCTTGATGCTAATTGATACTTAAAGTTTTTATTTTACCCGTCCGCGGAGGGTTATTATTTGCTCAGTTGTACCCCAACTTATTTTATTTGATTTAATACAGTTTGTTTAATCAACTGGAAGTATGTAGGCATACCACCGTCATCATCATAAAGCAAAATTAATCAAAATACAAAGTACATTCGCCTCGTTTTTATTGAACAAACAAATATATTTTTAACAAAAAAAAGTTCTGACTTATGTAGTTTACATTAATACTCTTAACTGCGAGCCTCACAGTCCCCATCGCGTGACTTCTCCTTGCCGGCGCATCTTAACAGGCATTCATTGTTATAAGTCACACCATCTGAACCGCACACTGGGCTCAAGTTCCTCGTACACGAACATGAGCTGCCGGGATTGCCGTCATTTTCATCTTTACAAAAGCCTGAGTAAGCGACGCTCAATCTAGAGTTGTGCTGAGTTGCGCAGTTGAGCCAGCAGTCGTTGTCGTAAGTGATGCCGTCCGAACCACAAACCGGCTTGTGATCGCTCTCACACTTACATTCCGGCTGGTTGACCACAGAACAAGCGCCATGGTGAGCAATACTCAGCCTTGAGTTGTCCGCAGTTGCGCAATTGAGTAGACAGTCATTGTCATACGTGGTTCCATCCGAACCACACACAGGGCTAAGGTTTTCTGGGCAAGTACATTCAGGTTGGTTGTTGACGATGTTCACGTCGGTTTTGCAAAGACCTGAATACGCGATACTCAGTTTTGAATTTTTCACGGTTGCGCAATTCAGCAGGCAGTCGTTGTCGTAAGAGACCCCGTCGGAACCGCACACTGGGCTAAGATTTTCTGGGCAAGTACATTCGGGTTGGTTGTTGACGATGCTCACTTCGGTTTTGCAAGGACCTGAATGCGCGATACCCAGTCTTGAGTTGTTCACGGTCGCGCAATTGAGCAGACAATCGTTGTCGTAAGTGTTCCCGTCGGAACCACACACTGGGCTTAGGACATCTGGGCAGATACACGGTGGTTGGTTGTCGACGACGTGTACGCTGCTGCCTTCGCAAGGACCGATGCAAGTGTCCGGTTGTGCCACCAAGACGCTTTCGCACGCACCATCGTGGGAAACTTTGACTGAGCTGCATCCAGCTTGGCAGCTGCTCGAGTAAGTCTTGCCGTCTACGCCGCAAACTGGTTGGTATATTAACGTGCAGATGCATCCCGCGCCCGGCAGTTGGTCTGGACAACGTCCCTCGGAAGCTTTTGTGAGATCAGCGTTCGTTTCCTGAGCGCATTTGAGCAAACACTCGTTGTTGTAGGTCTCGCCGTCGCTCCCACACACGGGACGCAAGCTTCTTGTGCAGGTGCACAGAGGCGAGGAAGTCGCTGTGCTCGCGAGCGCTGCGATCACCAAAATCCCTGTAAAAATGAAATCAAGTTTGGTATTGTTTACGTCGCGTAGGATCATAGGATCTAATTGTCACCACGCGCGGCGATAAGTGATAAGTCACGCGAGAATTTACTCGGCCTTGTTTCCCTGTAATTATTACAATGAGGATCAGTACNAATTTTTGTCGTAGAACAAAAATTTTTGGACTGTATATTAAGGATTTCTTAGACCTATAAATCTGCATTCACAGCTAAAAATCGAAATGATCCTCATTAGCCCAAGAGTTAGGGAATTTGAGCAAACACGTCGCTTATTAAACAAAATAATTTGATGTCCGTCCTACTTTACTTTACTTTGATTGCAAACAGAGGTAGTAAGTATTATTATAATAAGGTCTCTAAGTGCATAGCAACTCGCGTTACTTAAAATTCATGGAATGAACGTTTCCAAGCTTTGAGAAGGTCAAACATCCTTCTTATGTTTGTTGTCAAAACATCTAACTTGCCTTGTTGCCGGCATGTTTACATGATAATTATTTACTAAAGTTTCCTCAGGCACCTTGACATTTAATTAGTACTTCTTAAAAATCTGGTTACATAAAGCATTGTTATATTTTGTATAGCCCATTAATAACATCTGTATTTTTTATAAAAATCATTGAGATCAAATGAATCCCCTTATTCATAAAAATGAAAACAGGTAAATTTAAACTCACCGAACTTTGACACCATCTTGTTAAAAAATATTATCTATAAAATTATTATTTGTATACTAATTATTGCTCAAACGAACCGGTCGACTGCGTGTCTCTGAATGAAGCTTAGAATTGACTGTAGTCAATTTATATTTAACTAACACGATCGGTGGACGGTTGAGGCCGCTAAGTTTGTTTTGTGATTCCCCGAGCTGTGCGTCAGAAAAACTCCTGGTTCCGCGTAACATTAAGCTATACTTAAGTCACACTTGGGTGACGAAAACAGCTTTTAAAAATAGTCATTAAGTACTCAAATGATAGCTTATTATTAGAGAGGACATTGACTTTTGAATTAGCTACAATGTTTTTGCGGAAGCGCGCGTGTCAATTCGTGATGCTAAGGCATGACCGAATCTAACCGTTTGTATCGAACTGATACAGTCGACACAGTCCAAACTGGGTGGATTTTAGACTTAACTAAACTTACGGGGTATAGGGTAGCCTTGCTTAATCGTCTAGGATCTTTCAGCATAGGTGGTGTTTTATAATTAACCCTTTGCAAGGCTTTTGCCATAGAATTTTGGACCATTAAGGTCCAAAAAATTTTTGAATTTAATTCCAATACAAAAGCAATGAAATCAAAGCAACAACGAGTTCTCTGTGACCGTTAAAGAGAACCCTGGTTTAACGATCTGACGCCATCTATTCTTAAAGCGACATGAAGGTTGTCTAGAGAAAAAACCCATGCGCCTAGCGCCTAGCCCTTTGCTTACCTTCTGATATGAATCAAACTATTGACAATGTTGAGATCTTTATTTCCATAGGCAATTAGGTACCCAACAACCAAGGTAAATAAATAAGATTGAAACAACCTACATACTAGGCACCTATGTAAGTAATCTGAAACGTCACGCTCAGAACTACATAAATATATTAAATAGATACTTATTACGACATTTGCGACCAATCACTGACTTGAGTATATTATGAGGGAAGGTTGAATCAAGTTTTGTGTGTCCTTTTAGAAAACGTACATTCATGCTTACAGGCACAAACATCTATTGTTTCGAATCGAATCAGTTGCTTGTGAGAAGTTAAACATAAAAAGTACTTTCAAGGTAAATTGTGGCATCTTTAGTCATTGTGATTAAATATATTTTGCAACAAAAATGTGTAAGTTATGTAATCTAACGTGCTGTCGACTGTACACACGGAGAGCTTCGTGCGGGTACTTGTGCTATTTATCTATTCTGTGGTACAGGACGTGAAGCAGCAGGAAGCAAAAATGTCGGGTTACAGATTAATTAATTAAAATGATAGTTTACTTCTTAGTTACTACTTCCTCCTCTTTTTCTTGTATATTAATAATACTTATTACATATCTTAATTATTATTTATTTACATGGAAATACGATTGCCATCTCTAAAATTTGACAATGAGGACAATACGCGTAAAAAATAAAATCCCGAATTTGCACGCATATTGCAATCAAGCGCATCGCCGGGCGATGATGGCCTACTAAGACTTGATTTTTTTATTACAACAAATGAAACCACGCCGCGCCCGGAGCCCGGACGCTCCCCGGATCTCCTCTAAACTAGGACAAGTCCGGAGATACCCGAACGGATGGTTACCCTACACGGAAAGTACGCAAGTCTCGTGTTCAATGGAAATGGAGTAAGATTTATTTGCGAAGCATATTTGTTCATTACGATGAAAACAAGTCTAGCATGGGTTTGTTTTAACTAAAACTGTTCGTCATATTCAAGATGATGCTTAGTATTTTAAGCCGTCATTTTCCTGAAACGTAACTAAATTAGCAAGAAATAAATGAAACCGGTACGTACGTTCAGAGAATTATTTATTACATTGTCTATAATTTAAATTTAAACGTACTGACGGCAATATTGTTTATGTTTAGTAATGATAAGGGAACAAATGTGATACTAATTATTATGAATGTTTTGATAATAATAGGTAATAGTTGGTAATAATATTATCTCTTATCTTTTCTACTGAACTTACGCCATGAGGTATTCTTTGAGGTTTGTGGTTCCATGATTCGACGATCAGGAAGCATTCTGGACTCGAGTAGGGCAAAGAGGAGCTATTAGTGAGGCCACTCCAAGGTCTCCAGCAGTGGACAGCATTTTATTCAAAAGTGGTAGTATCATGAAGACTTTAGAAGGCTGTTAAATTAGTTTTGACATATGGCCCAAGTGCTGCAGTGGCTCCAGGTTCGATCCCTAGTTGCCCCAATTAAAAAACTATTAAACGATAATTAGCACAGATATGGATTATTATTATTATGTTGCTATGTAGTAAATAGGGACATGTAAGATTTCCTGCTAAGAACTTAATATTTACTTACTTAAAACTTGATTGGCAAGGACAAGGTCAAGTCATTAACTGCTATAACAATGATAAATCAGAAGATTTAAGATAATGAGAATGCAAAAGATAATTTAACAACTTACCTAGTGATATTTTCTTTAAATTCTCAGGTTATGGATATTATTATACTTAACTAGTAATCAAAAAATATCTGATAACTTTTTAAAATCATTGTGGTAGCCAACGTATTTTTTTTTTTTTTTTTTTTTTTTTTTTTTTTTTTTTTTTTTTTTTTTTTTTTTTTTTTTTTTTTTTTTTTTTTTTTTTTNATGATAGGAATTGAAAAGTTATGTAAGAAAATGCGCCACCTGTAAATAGTGTATATATTTTATTTTTTAATATGTAAATACTTGCTTTTGTTATCCTTATCCGCTATAAACAATGATCCTATCAAATAATCCTTTTGTTCCGTTTCCTTCCGTAATTTTTAATAATTCGTTTCCCTACCTTTTAACCTAATCCCACCCTGTCCAAACGCAATGTCCGCAAAACCAAACGCAAAACATACGCAAACGCAAAACTCAAGATCAAGAACCCTGTCGTGGCTAAACGCAATCCGCGAGAGCCAGAGCCCCGATTACGGTAATTTTTAACGTCAACAATCCAGACACGCTTCTCGATTCTGCGATACGATTGGTCGTTCAACAGCGTACGTCAGCTGTTTTGACCAATCGTATCGCAGAATCAGAAACGCGTCTGGATTGTAGACGTTATAAAAGTTACCGTAATCGGGGCTCTAAAAGAAGAAAAAAAAAAAAAAAAAAAAACGTATTTTTTTTTATGGGACAGGAGGTAAACCAGACGGTACCTACCTTCAACGTGCTTCAACGGTTTGTAGGTACATAAATGGCCAGTACCAAGTAAAAAATGTTCAAGGTGATAAGAAAACATTCAACCAGTGATTTTTTAATTAAAAATCCCTTTCCCATGAGGTTCAGTAAAGATGTGACCACACGCTGAGAAAACTTGAAGTGATGGACGGTGCACTGTATGATATTACCATCGTTAATACACACTATTATTTAATCGATTACAAAAAAAATGCTAAACATTACGAAACTTTCCCGCCATTTTTGGTCATATTTGTTTTTTTTCAATACTAGTACTAAGCGATCCAAACCATAATGCCTAGTGAATTGTAAAAAAAAATAGCTGTGTATTTAACACTAATCAGTCATTCCAATTCATTTTATTATGTAATAAATTAGATCCAGAAGTCGTTTTATATTTTATTTTACTGTGAAAAGTTCAAGGTTATGCATCCCGTCCCGCATCCATCCAGCAGCTGATTTCCGTGTTCCCTTGGTTTGGTTTGGACTTTGACATTTTGACGTTTCATTTTATCAACAGCCGTTCAAGATCGAGCGAAAACTTGTACGACAAGTTTGGAAAGTTACTCGTTGTCTCTTGTGTACCGCCCGATTTAATCAAATAATAGCAAAATGTCTGACAAAAGTAGCCCAGCAAAATATTTCTTAAGCGGTGGTTTTGGCGGTGTCTGTACAGTTTTAGCGGGACACCCAATGGACACAATAAAAGTGAGATTGCAAACGATGCCCGTCCCAAAGCCAGGTGAAGTCGCTTTATACGGTGGAACCTGGGACTGTTTCAAGAAAACAATCCAGAAAGAGGGTTTCAAAGGCCTCTACAAGGGTATGTCTGCGCCACTTACCGGAGTAGCCCCAATATTCGCGATTAGTTTCTTAGGATTTGGCCTTGGCAAAAAACTCGTACAAACGAAAGACGACCAGCCACTCTCCAAGCCACAGCTCTTCGCCGCTGGTGCTTTTTCTGGGATCTTCACTACGTCTATTATGGCTCCTGGTGAAAGAATAAAATGCCTGTTACAGATCCAACAGGGAGGTAATGTGCCTCAGAAGTACAATGGCATGGTTGACTGCGCTCGCCAGCTGTACGCAGAGGGCGGCATGAAGAGTATTTACAAGGGCAGCGTGGCCACGATACTCCGTGACGTGCCCGCTAGTGGAATGTACTTTATGACCTACGAATGGGTGAAAGAGGTGCTTGTGCCGGAAGATGCTAGTGCTAAAACCAAAGTGATGGCTACTATAGTGGCCGGTGGTTGTGCAGGTATAGCCAACTGGCTTGTTGCCATGCCGGCCGATGTTTTGAAGAGTAGGTTACAAACGGCACCTGAAGGTACCTATCCGAACGGAATGAGGGATGTGTTCAAGCAGCTGATGGAAAGGGAAGGTCCCCGAGCCCTGTACAAGGGTGTCACTCCTGTGATGATCAGAGCTTTCCCAGCCAACGCAGCTTGTTTCATGGGCTTTGAGGTTGCCGTAAAGTTCCTTGATTGGGTAGCACCCAATCTTTGATAACATTTATTTACTTGTAAGAGTATAGGTATTCAAATGTATATTTTCAATAAATTTAAGTATTAACCTAGATAAAGAGAAATGAGTTTATATAGTATCCATTGTGAAATAGTGTATACTTGTTTATAATTAGTGTCCGACCGAATATGGATTTTCAGCCGAAAACGGAAACGAAAACGAAGCTTCGGCTGCAGTCTCATTTTCGGCCGAAAACGAAAACGAAAACGAAAATGACCTTCAACTCTCAAATTTCAATCTGAAATTATGTAAAAACTTTGAAAACCGTTACTGTTTTGACCAAAAACATAATGACGTTTGACAGTTGATTTTGATAGATTGATTATAGAAAACCGGCATTAAAACACAAAAAAATATCATGAAATTCTTAGTAGAATATTATTTCCGATGTAGGTACATTGAAATATTGGGAAGTGAAGAAGAAATAAAGGGTGTCCAGTGGGAATTTTTTAACTTCAAAAATGAATACAAATAAATTAATGATTTTTTATTATTTATTACTAATGCAAAACAATGTGGATAATTTTTTTTATAGGCAATGTCTTTTAAATGATGCCCGTTTTATTATAGGCACTCTCACAGCCGGACCCTTACATTCGCAACTATGCGAGAGCAAATCGCGCTAATAATTTTCCTGCAACTTCACGGCGGATATTTTCTTACAGAACCCGAATTATTTAAGGATTGTTTGCTGTAAACTTTTGACTTTAGATATCCCCATAAGAAAAAGTCGCATGGTGTGAGATCTGGTGACCGAGGCGCCTAGGGTATGTCCCTGTACTTGCTGATCATTCATTTGAAAAGAAAAATAGTCCTCAGTGTCTCCATCGAGGTACTCTCCGTGTGTGGTGAAACACCTTCTTGCTGAAATAGAGTTACGTAGTTGACCGGGATGCAGTGCAGTTGTGGTATCAGACATTCATCGATCATTCGACAATACATTTCAAATACTTATTGCTCAACTGCGTACGCTCTGTAGGCACCAGTGACTCATGGCGTATTATTTTGAAACAATTAAACTTAATGAAAACTCTTTGGGTTTATTGTATTCAATTTTGAACTTGGGAAATTGTTGCTGGACACCCTTTACAACGTAACCTCACTTCACAACTTCAAAAGACTGTGACAATACCGCGTCCGTTCAAGTCTGATTGGAACCATGAGTGCACCAGATGCACTCCCGAAGATATCGGAACGATAAACGTCACCATCTTATTCACGTATTTTTGATATTCGGTTTGGCCGAAGCTTCGGCTGGTTTTTGGCCGAAAACGAAAATATGGCCGAATGTCCATTTTTTGGCCGAAAATGGCCGAAAACGAAAACGAAAACGAATATTCGGTCGGTCACTATTTATAATGTTGTTACCTCTGCTTAGATTTTATTTTACATGACAATATTAAATAAGTAGTTGTGTAAACAATAGTTTTGAAATGTCACACAAAAGTTTATTATATCAAAATCACAATTTTCTATGTTTTATAATTTATACCACTAATGTTAATGATTCTCAAATCTAGAGAATTGTTATTGTATTATGGATGGTAAGGTTGTAAGAGATTGGCAGGTTGACACTTGTAAATAAAGTTTTATTTTCATTACATATCATGTGTTTTTTTGACCAAATGTTTTGTATATCAATATTGAAGTTATGTACTTCCACCTTTCATGAGAGGACACTTATTAATTAATGCAGTTTTGTAAAAATATTTCATTTATTACTTGATTTATATTGCAAACATACATAATTACACACACATTCATTAAAAAAGTATAAATCCTGGTGATTTCTGTTCTGCTTCAAGCTCAGCTGGAAGATTTTAAAAACTGGAAGGTTTCAACTAAAAATCTAATTCAGATAAAATTGCCGCCTGAAATTGATTTCCATTCTTCTATTAGATTCATGATCTCTTGCTAATGCTTTTCTGTTCTTTTGCCTAACAGTTTCAGTAGTTTTCTCTGTCTTTTCTACCTTATTTGTCTTCTTTCCATGTCCAAGACCTTTCCTGTCTTGTTTCTGCACTGTTTTGATTGGGTACTTCTTTCCAGACCCATCTGGTCCCAGCCCAGACTCCTTGTCCCATCCAACCTTCAACATTATTTGATATCCCCTATTAGATTCAGGAATCACATAATTTGTTGGCATCTTTTTACCTTTACTTAAATTTATATTATGTATTGTTGAAGATAAATGATAATCTTTGTTTCTTACTTTAATATTACACAGATTGCAGAAAAAATCTTGTATTCGAACATCATCATTATGATGTAAAGTCTGTTCTTTATTTTTTACTTCTTTTTCTCTTTGTGTTTGTGTATGACTCAATAGAATATCAGCTAGAATGTAGTTTTTGTTCTTAATGACTAAGCTTTGTGCAGAGTTCCCAGCCTTATCCCTCACTGATGTGTTGCAACTTCGTTTAAGTAGTTCTTTAACCGAATCTATGCTGTTGGCTTGGCAAGCTATCATGAGGAGACTCCAACCGTAGTCATCTAGTTTGTTTATTTTATCTGGATCGTTATCTAAAGCTGCTTTCAATGTGTCAATATCATCATTTTGCACTGATATGAACAAATCCTTGTCAGATATTTCTTGGTCTACTACAAGTTTTTTTCGTTTTACTGGCTTAGTAACGTTATTGATATCGTCGCTATCACACACAACTGGATCTTTAACGTGTTTTACCTCATTAATGTATATTTTCCTGGCTTCTTCTCCACTTATATGAGTCTGTGCAAATGAATTTGTCGAGCCACTAACTTCACCCGACGAGGAAGGCTTGACAAAGTTACAGTAAATGTTTCTGGACATTTTTACTGACAGAAAAATGTACTCTTGTTAAATTCAAATGTAAAATTTTATTATTTATTTTGAATACAGTTTTTCACAACTCGCACACAGCACAGCTGCAGCACAACCAAAGCACAACACACACACACAACAGCTGATTTTGACGTTTACATCTGACACTGTCAGTGACGTTAACGTACTTGACGCATCACAGTGTATGCAAAGATATTATGGTGTATACAGCCTACTTTTAATGAAATGCACAGTGTAGTGTGTACTTATGTACTTAGCGTTTGAAAAAATTAAAACACATTTCTTAGAAAACAATTTAATAATTCATTATTACGAATTTTAATTCAACTATCTATAAAATTGCATAAATTTGACCATAGTCCTACTCCTTAGGTGCGTTTTCTGTCGTCCTCCTGTACCCTGAGCACGAATAACTCTTGTAATCCTTATCAGGCGTAGCGGCTGTTTTGTTGTTCATACAAAATAAACGATTATAATGCTCTAACAAGAACGATAAGTTGCAAAGTAAGTATTAAGCTTTATTATTACGCTAGGCACTGAATACATACTGCTGCGCTAGTGAATAACTAGGTGTCTAATGAGAACTACAAAAAATACAATTTTACATCTTATAACATTGGTCAAAATTCATTCAAGTTATAGACAAAGTTCACATTCACACACAATAAATACTATGATAATTAACAATAATATCGCACAACAAACAATACACATTTTATACAAATTTTAGCTGTCTTTGCATGGTTCTCTGTAAGTTATGGCCAGACGAGGATTAGTCAAAGCAGCGCACTTCAATAAGCAGGGATTGTCGTATGTGACGCCATCGGTTCCGCATACGTACTCAATCTGATAGGTGCATGTACACAAAGGCTGGAGGAAATTAAACAATTTTGACACACAAGCACCATCGGAAAGTTTTTCCAAATTTGGGTTGGTTTTTGCTGCGCACTCCAATAGACAAGGGTTATTGTAGGTCCGCCCGTCATTGCCGCAGACTTGACGGATCTCCTTGGTACAAGGGCAGCTCTGCTGGTTCTGAATTGATCTCTTTAATCTTGTATTTTGTTTACACTTTCCTTCGTGAAGTTTCTTCAGGTGCGGATTTGTTTTGGCTGCGCATTTTAACAGACAGGGGTTGTGGTACGTCTGTCCATCACTGCCGCACACATAGCGGAGCTCCCTGGTGCAAGGGCAGCCCAATTGGGTCTGATTCTGAATCGATCTTTTTATTATCTTATTCTTTTTACACACTCCGTCGTGCAGTTTCTTCAGGTGCGGATTTGTTTTGGCTGCGCATTTTAACAGACAGGGGTTGTGGTACGTCTGTCCATCACTACCACACACATAGCGGAGCTCCCTGGTGCAAGGGCAGCCCAATTTGCTTTGATTCTGAATCGATCTTTTTATTTTCTTATTCTCTTTACACACTCCGTCGTGCAGTTTCTTCAAATGCGGATTTGCTATAGCTGCGCATTTTAACAGACAGGGGTTATGGTACGTCTGCCCATCACTGCCGCACACATACCGGAGCTCCCTGGTGCAAGGGCAGCCCAATTGGTTCTGATTCTGAATCGATCTTTTTATTATCTTATTATCTTTACACATTCCGTCGTGCAGTTTCTTCAGGTGCGGATTTGTTTTGGCTGCGCATTTTAACAGACAGGGGTTGTGGTACGTCTGTCCATCACTGCCGCACACATACCGGAGCTCCCTGGTGCAAGGGCAGCCCAATTGGGTCTGATTCTGTATCGACCTTTTTATTATCTTATTCTCTTTACACACTCCGTCGTGCAGTTTCTTCAGGTGCGGATTTGTTTTAGCTGCGCATTTTAAGAGACAGGGGTTGTGGTACGTCTGTCCATCACTGCCGCACACATACCGGAGCTCCCTGGTGCAAGGGCAGCGCAACTGATTCTGAATCGATCTCTTTATTCTAGAATTGCACTCCCCTTCGTGTCGAAGAGTTAGGCGGGAGTCGGAGGCCTGTTCACAGCGGAAGGTGCAGATGTTGCTGTACGAGATGCCATCGGAGCCACAAACGGGTCGTCGGTTCTTCGGACAAGCGCATGGTGACTGTGCCGTAGCGCATGTCAACGCTACAGCCAAGAAGATTACGGCTTCTGCAAGCATTATTTACGTTCTTAGGTCAATTCAATGCATATGAATATCACAGTAAAGTATTTGAGAGAATTGAGTTCCAATAAACCGTTAGCATCACCAACACTGATAAACTGACTGGCGGTTAAAAAGTCAGAGCTATGATTCTTATTGAGTAATTAACAATGCTTAATTACACTTAGGCTGTCACAAATTAGCATTGAATGTAGTTAATACCTCTAATAACCATGATGCAATTTTTGTCGCAAGATTTTAACAAAATTTTTTCTCTATTTCCTATTCTGTGCTCAACACTATCTGAACTAAATACAAAACGTAAGTGAATTCCCTTTATATAGACCCACTAACCTGCTTAATAGCATAACAATTTATTACTACATGTGAGTAATAATTCTTTTACGTAGGTCTTAGGGAAATCACAGTTTTATTAGGTAGTCACTAGTCAGACATACCCATAGAGTTGTGTAATGAATATCAATAATTGCTGTAAGCAATGTAACTCATAGTAGACAGTAGACACACAGGTTAATAGCCTGATATTATCAGGTGTAATAGTAATGTAATGTTTGTAAAAGATAAGTACCTAAGTATTATGGCGATACTTATGGCCAAAGCGTCTGATGTCGAATCGAGATGGATGGTGAAGTAACACACAACAAGCATACAATTAGTTTACTTGGAGGGGTAAATAAAGATTGTAACGCGACCTCTGTGGTTAATGCTTGCATTCGAGTTTGGCGGGCTTTATTTTACAACTCACGGGCTCGCGCGCTCTGCCGGCGCGCTCTCACCAACGGTCGCCGGCGTCTTTTCTAAATTCAACCTTATTGCCAGTCCGCCCATGGCCGCGACGCGTGATTATTACTCTCCCAATATTTCGGTGTTTGGATATTGTTTTGACTGATATAAACCAAGTTTCATGTACATTTCGTTGTGTTAAATTGTCAATATACTTGTTGATGATTGAATTGTGCCTACGAACTTATTTCACGACCCCGAGACCAACTTAACGAGTATTACAGTGACGCCCAACTTGCGGGGCACGTTCAACACAAGTGTAAACAACGAAAGCCTTTCGACATTTACTTGAAGAACCCACTCTTTCTATCGTCTCAACATGCCACCGAAGAGGAATGCCGCGAGGACCGCGAGAAACGAGGGATCGGACTCGGACGCAGACTACACTGACACCGANGGGCTACCGATGCTGCTGGTCGGCGAGGCCGCCGTGTGGTGGCAAGGCGTGAAGTCGTCGGTGACGTCATGGACCGAAGCCCTACAGCGACTTCGAGGAATGTTCGGCGTGCCGCGACCTGCGTATAAAATATTTCGCGACATATTTTCCGCCGAACAAAGTGACGAACGAGCCGATGTGTTTGTGAATAAAGTGCGCGCCTTATTGTCAAAGTTACCGTACGTAGTACCCGAAGCGATGAAGCTAGACATTGTTTATGGACTTTTAGATCGTAGAATAAGAAAACGAGTGCCTCGTGACACTGTGGACGGGCTGGAACAGCTGATAAGTAAAGTCAGGTTGGTAGAAGAGTCGCTGGCAGAGGTGAGTTCTCACGTCGTTAATAATAATAGCGCGAGCCCCGTTAACCCACCAACTGCGCGATGCCGCTCGACCGCGGGCCCGAGTGTTAACCCGTCGCATGCCGTAAACGACCCCCCGAGTTCATTTATGAGTAAACATCGCGACGAAGTTTATTTCGATTCGTGTAGTGAATCTGTGTCGAATAACCCGCGAGTTTCAAATGCGAATAACAGCGATAGTGAGGGGAAAAGGCGCGTTCGACCCAGGTGTAGTTATTGCAAACGTTTCGGCCATACTAAAGATAACTGCCGCAATAAAGAAATTAAAAGTGACGTAACTACATTTGAGTCGGGCGATAGTAATGTCCTACGTTGCTACGGATGCGGTCAGCTGGGAGTAGTTAGGTCAAAGTGCGATAATTGCAAAGGCGCACCCGGTTCGAGTAGTACGAATAAGTCGGACTTTAGTACGGCCTATGTCATAGACAGCGACGACGATCCGAGGCCGCTGATAGAAATTCAGGTCGTAAACCGAACGGGGGTGGCGATTATTGACACGGGGGCCACACACTCTATCGCAAGCCCCGTGCTGTATAATATGTTACGCGAGGCAGGTGTTACATTTAGGGAGTCCAAACGTATCGTAGGGCTTGCAGATGGATCGCAATACCTACAGACGACGCTTGAAGGAGAGGTCAATGTCACCTTGAAAGGTCGGATAATACCTACCGCGTTCTTGGTGCTACCACACGCGCGAACCAGGACCCTGTTAGGTAGGGATTTTATTACCAGAGCTGGTATCCTGCTGGACTTACCGCAGAGCAGCTGGCGTTTCAACGATGGGCCACGATGTTGGCATCCGTTCATCACCAGCTTCGAATTATCTACCATCGGCAAGGCAGAGCTGATGAAGGTAGAAGCAGCAGACCGGGTACTCCAGGGGAAGATAAGGCCTAAGGGCGTATCAAGACCGACGATGCAGCTGAGTACCTGTATAGTGCAAGGAGCCCGCGGCACTCAACGTGTTAACGGTCGGAGCGACCCGAAACCCCCTACGATATCGCCTCCCGATGTTTATTGCCCCGGGGCAGGTTCAATGCAGGGGGAGGCTCCCGGAAAACCACTACATCCGTGTTGCGCCGACGTTGATTTAGCTTCTTTTAGTAAGAACCAAATCGAGTACCCAGAGTCACGTGACATGCTGCCATCCGACGTTCCGTCTTGGGGGAGGAGAGGGCCCTACAATGTAATTGACGTCATCAACCCCGCTGACGAAGTACGTCATATTCATTTCGCGCGCTATTATACCGCTGGCGATTTATATCGACGAAACCGATTTCGTCATGTTAGGGAGGCCGCGAGTACTGCATACTGGCCGGAGGAACACGCAGGAGGGTATCGCGTCCCACAGCTGACCCCGTCCGTAGGCGATGGACCGCCGAAACGGCTCGGTCAGAGGCATAGGCGTAGTAGACCCAAGGTATCATTTGCTGACCTTGACGCGAGGGCGCTATGTCTTGGTCAGAGGGGGAGGTTGTAACGCGACCTCTGTGGTTAATGCTTGCATTCGAGTTTGGCGGGCTTTATTTTACAACTCACGGGCTCGCGCGCTCTGCCGGCGCGCTCTCACCAACGGTCGCCGGCGTCTTTTCTAAATTCAACCTTATTGCCAGTCCGCCCATGGCCGCGACGCGTGATTATTACTCTCCCAATATTTCGGTGTTTGGATATTGTTTTGACTGATATAAACCAAGTTTCATGTACATTTCGTTGTGTTAAATTGTCAATATACTTGTTGATGATTGAATTGTGCCTACGAACTTATTTCACGACCCCGAGACCAACTTAACGAGTATTACAAGATTTAATTAATGTATGTTTCTTAATTCTTTGTAGGACTTCCCAAGTTGCGCCACTCGCCCACGATCTTTATCTTTTACCTTCCGCGTTCTGGTAGGTAGGACATACCTACATAAACATTCGTTGTTTCAGCCAAATGACGTCAATTGCTGGACAAAGGCCTCCCCCAAGGTTTTTCATAATGGTCCAGAACGGTCCTGCGCTGCCCGCATCCAGGTTCTTCCCGCGAATTTTACCAGATCGTCGTTCCACCTAGTAGGAGGCCTACCCACGCTACGTCTTCCAGCCCGTGGTCGCCACTCGAGAACTTTTCTGCCCCAACGGCCATCGTGTTTGCGAGCTAATGTGCCCCGCCACTTGATTTTAGCAATTCTGCGAGCTATGTCGGTCGTTCACTTTGGTTCTCCTGCGGATCTCCTCATTTCTGATTCGATCACGCAGGGAAAAACCTTCTAGGTGCTTCGTATAATGATTGATAAGTATACTCATACTCAGATGAGTAGTGTAGAGTTCACGCCACAATGAAATTGAATTCTTGCATCACAACCTACCACCCCGGCGTATGAGTAACTAATGTGACCCCGGTTAGTGGCATGACCGCGACGGTAGAAATTTGACTCTCATAACTCATAGGTTCTAGGTTCGATTCTCAGATTCAGACCCATTACATTCACATCAGTTTTTTTTTATTTTGTCTAGGTCCGATGTCCAAATGAAGCCAATCCTTAAATAAGTAAGATATAATATTACAAGCAAAAATTGTATCCTACTACGCCTTTGTTAGAGCTAGTGTGCGATTTAAAAAGAAATTATGCAAATCAGTCCTACAGAACCGTTGGGAACGATAAATTGCGCGTCGCAAAACCTTGCAGCCAAACAATGGCAGTTTAAAGAAGTATGTTAGAGGATAACGTTGTTCTTTATAGCCAACATTTACTCTTCAAACATTATAACGCACCGTAAAGTGGCTCGTAACGTCGATTGCTGGATTATCAACGGAAATTGATAATACTTATTGCCTTATTGGTTCACAAGAAGTGCTGCACTTAATATAAATTACGAATACGCTCGGTCGGAGAAAGTACCCAGTGTTCGCTCGGTAGAAACGCAAGTACCCGCATCGGGAAAACTCTCTGCAATGGACTGCAAAATTTGTAAGTCTCTATAATTTAGTTTAAATTCGATTCACATGCTTTTGCTGCTAATAGAAAAGAAGCACTTAATTTGAGGTTTTTAAGAGCAATGAAGTCTATCTACGTTTAGTTCGATTAAGTAATAGTTACGGCTGTACCTAAGTATTTTACTGATGTAGAGCACATTGGATTAGTGCTAAAATTACCAAAGATGTCCCATTGTATAGCTTAACTTTATGGTCGTTATCTTTGTACTAAACAACACCATCAGAGAAGAAATTAGTTATTAAGTTCACTTAAACCGATTAAGAACGATACTTTCTTCCACCTATAAGTCAAATTAAAAAGTTTTTTCCTGGTGTTTTCGGTAAGTAAAATACCTAATACAATAGTGTATTTATACCTAAGTACCTTATTATTTGTGACCGTAAAGTAAATGCAAAGTAGCTTAATTTTAATTGTTATCTTATTAGAGTATGTCAGGGTTAGCCAAACTTACTTATATGTATTTAGTGACATTATATACTTTTGCTTTTGGGGTCCTACCAGATAATTCGTGCACTAACGGCTAGGTTAGGGTAATTTTCTACCTACCTACCTATTACCTAACTAACTTCTCGTAAAATTGATCGATTTCTATATCGGAATAATCGGAATCAATGACAAACAATACAAAAGCGGACTAATGTTTATACAGAATTTCGTGAATAAACGAAATAAGTCTTAGGTTCGATTCTAGGTCGCGCACGCGACAGATGCAAAGTATGGAAACGATTTTTTACATTGGCTCGCATCTGGGCGTGTTGGAATAGCGTGCTTAGCAGATAGGTACTATCGGGGACTCTTCCGCCTGACCACTTTGTAGAAATTTTAGCGTAAGCGCATCGCTCCGGTCACGTGCTCACCGCGTCTCTAATTGGTTACGCATTTTACTATATTTTTACTACGACCAATAAGAGACAATCAGGGCTTAGGTTGCAATACGAAATACCATTGTGCACTTTATTGTCATACGGTTAAGGTTTAAAACGAAATGTTTCTTTTTCTTCAATCTTTCTTAGTTTTAGGCTGAGTTGCACCACCTAACTTTGACCGTAACTATAACGGTAACCGGTCCTTTTTGTATGGAGTTTGACAGAATTTTGACGTTTGTTAAAGTTAAAGTAAGATGGTGCAACTCAGCCTTAGAATTTTAATAATAGAATTTGGTTACAAACAAATAGATATGTATTTTTTTTAATATTGTGTTTTTATACGAGGTCTGTCTGCTTTTTGCTTTGGCGATCTGTCGACATATTCTCTCCTTTGTTTTTTGTGAAGTTTCGTGATCAATAACCGATTGATTTGTGTTGACCCGTGCTAGTAATTGGACTGTTTGATTGCCTTTTTATTGAACTCCGCTCGATTACTGAACCATGCCTCTCAAAATAATTCTTATATTTACTTACAAACTTATCTATTCATTGTTAACTGTTTAAGTATTATTTAGTTTGAAGTTTAATTGTTATTGATTTAAGACCTTGTGTAAAGACACTTAATGTGCAATAAAAAATTGAATTTGAAATAAAACTAACTGAATATTATAATATTTACGATAACCAATTACCTGGATGTGAGATGTTCCGTTTTAAAGATAAGTGTTTCTTTAAAACGGAAAACAAAATATGCATTAAAAATAAATAGAAACCTATCAGGTATAAGTTTTTATTTACATTCAAGGATTTAAGAAAGTTATAGCCAGATCTTACAATGATTGTTTTAAGCCACAAATATTCCTTAACACTTTACTAATTAAGTAATTCAATAACATATTGTTTAAATAAGTTCCGAATAAATTAAATACCTATTAAGTAAAATTCGAAAGCAACTGTATGATTTTGTATTTCTCGCCCTAACTAGCTAAACTAATATCATGAGATTTACACTCATAATATCAACAATAATTGTAGAAAGGGCTACTTTTTTCTCGGGAAATTGCAGTTACCTCGGAATGTGCGATAGCAATTTTGTGACCCGAGCGGGCAATCTCTAGTTCAAATTTTACACGAAGCCTCATATAATATTTTGTAGCGATTCTTTATTGGGTTTCAAATTGACTAAAATGCGACGTTGCCAAACCAGCGCTACGGATGCGGGCAATAAGCAATACTCAATCCTAATTGCTTTACATAGAGCTTGGTTTGCTAGGGCAAACATCTACAGTGGTGCGCCGACGCTGCTTAGACCCGAAATATGAATGAACGGGGGCGGAGCAAAATCGAGCGTGTGTGTGCAAACAATTTAGGCCCTTAAGGTGTCAAGGCGTTCGAGTCCCCGATAGTACCTACTATACTTAAATGCAGATTTTAAAGCCATGCGAAAATGGGGGCATCATAAGTTTAGTTACTTACAATTAACACAATAAACACTCAAGGAACAATTTTGCAAACGTTGCGCAAATGTTTGCCTTCAAGTACCGAGTTGTTTGTCAGATTCAAGTATATTTACCTTATTATCACAGAACAATTGAAAGGTGTCGAGTACCTAGGTAGGTACTTATACTTACCTACCTATAAAGTACCTAATTACCTACTTACATAAGTATTTGCCAGGGTGGTCGTTTAGGTAAGTTCAAAGAGGCGGAAAATCAAAAACCTAATGTAGAGCTGCGGGTGAATTTGCGTCAATAATCTTGTCATGAGTTAAACCATTTTTCTTACTTCATCATCATCATCATTTCAGCCATAGGGCGTCCACTGCTGAACATAGGCCTCTCCCAATGATTTCCATGTTGACCGGCGCCGACCTGCTACCTTTATGCTGTCGTCGGTCCATCTTGTGCGTTTTTCTTACTTATGTAGGTAATTAATATTATAATAAACTTTTCTTGTTGTGGGGGGATGCAGGGGGATATAATACCTACATCGCATAAATGTAATTAGGTATCTGCTTTAACCACTTTGTCACTTAGGTACAAAGCTTGCTTTGGGATTGGATAGCGCAGTGTATTAACGTCCACGTATACTTATTTATAACTGCACACTCATTCTCCGTTTTGCACCATTCCATTTTCCTCCCGCAGTATTTGTCGCAGTGTTGCTGCTATGCGCGGGCGCTCAAGCTTCCCAAACCTCGGGTCCTTCGTGCGCTTGCGCACGCATCTACCAGCCGCTGTGCGGGTCGGATGGACAAACTTACAACAACCTATGCGAGCTCCAATGCAGGGCTGAATACAACGCGAAGCACGGACGAGCCCCGCTGGAGGTTTACAAGCGTGGTAGATGCGAGAACTACGAGTAGCTGTAAAGGATGGTGTAGGTTGGTATTTTTTTCTAGATCAGCATCTAATTCCATTCCAAAAACCATTTCGAAGTTGATAAACAGGAGAAATACCTACATACTTACTTGTAATCTTGAAATTCAACAATTCCAGCGTGGTTAACTTGAAGATCTCTTTCTATGCCATCCGTTTATTATCTTTTGTAGCTTGTTTACTGCTTGCATTGCAATCACAAATAGGAAGTAACATAACATTACACTAGCAATGCACTCGACTGCACTACTTTTATATGTTTTAACAGAGGTTAAACCTAGTCATTTGTCGATATTTTATTTCCGCTTTGACGCACCGACTTGTTTGCTTACATTCTTCAAAATAGCAGTTTTTACGATGCACCCTCAAATTATGAGACCTTCATCCTTCCTATATCATTTGTAGATCTACACGGGAGTATTCCCACCTTTCTTTCCCACCGCTGCAACTCCTGTGTAGCCAGGATCTACAGCTTGACTGCCAATAAAAACACATCCAGTGAAGATCAAGTTTGTCCCGGGGGAAAGTTAAACTGTCATTGGACCCGCAACGAAATTAGTCGGAGGAATGGGAGTTCGAAATTTAAAGATCGACAGCAAAAGCAGGGTACTCATCTAGCCGTGTAGCGTGTAATGTATCAGATACTGTATAAAGTGAGTAAATAGGCACGAGCCCGCTGCGACCTGCTCACGCGTGGTTCGCAGGGAGATCGTAGCGACCTGCCGAGTGGCGATATCACTGCGAGCACAAAGGAGGCTCGCAGTAGGATTCAGGAGCTCGCAGCCAGATACGCGATGACCGTGGACGAGCCGTACTCACTTGAAGGTTGGTTACGTTACATGCTACGTTACGTGCTACATGGCAGGTGAGTACCCTGCCAAAGATGTTATACGCTGAGTCCTAACTTTGAAACCCTTGTTGCAGTTATAATGTTAGCCGTACTGTCGTCAACCTTGGCAGCTCCTCAGAGCCTCCCAGGCTGGGCTGGCTGGGCGGAGTGGCAGTGCCCCTGCATGCCGCCCTACGACCCAGTCTGTGCGTCCGACATGCGTCGCTACACCAACAAGTGCGTCTTCTCGTGTCGACAGGACTATCTGCAGTCCATCAACAAGCCATCACTTACTGTTGTTGACTGTAGCCTTCTTCCCCCTACTCACGAACAATTCGTCGGTTAAATGGAAAAGCGACATATTTAAAAAAATAACGAATTTAATCTTGTAAAAAATGTAGTACAATATGCATGATATACCTACCCCGCATCTCACTAAAGTTCATTCACAACATTACGTACGTGCCTACCTACATGTATGAAAAGGTATGAGCACTGGGTTAATCCCGTGTGCGTAAGCAAATCCACGTAACTGTATAAAGTCTAACTAGCTTTGGTCGCCCGCTACGCGGGCTACAAAAGCTAGATCTGCGATGCTGGCCGCTCCGGGCTTCGCCCTACGCGGCGCTCGGCCTGCGGCCTCGCATTCGGAGCTCGGCCTTCGGCCTCGCAAAAATTACACGGGGCGTTTATCGTTTGTCGCAAGGCTCTTTTGCTTTTTTGACGCAACACAAGTTTAACTGTGGTAGCTCTCGGGATTTGAACCATCGCTCGGCCTTCGGCCTCGCCTTTCTGTCTGTCACTGGGCTCTAGTCCTTTTTTGACGCATTAAAAATAACTCATGGCGACTCACAGGCTTTCAACTATCGCTCGGCCTTCGGCCTCGCCTTTTTCTACGTTAGCTAAGCCCCCCTGCATACAATTTGTATGGAGAATTTAGTCCCTTTAGGAAAACGGGTGAACGCTTGGCAGCCATCTTGGATTTCCAATATTTTGCATTTTTGCCTTAATCTGGACCATATTCCGCGCCGAAACCCATTTTTACTTTTTTTCTATCTTCACCCAGTCCCGTGAAACAATTCCTTGAAACCACCCATGCCCCAAAACTTTGAGTTCCCCTAACTGCCAGTGTTGCCAGGTGATCGAGTTGAAAATGGTTAAATGTCATTAGTTTGACCTATTTGCAGGAGACGTCATCCAAATTTCTGACCGGAAGTCGTTATTTCCATTTTTTACATTTTTTGACCAAAGCTTCCAAAGTATGGCANTAGAAAACAAGGAAGGATCCATTCGACAAGCAGCAAATATTTTCAGTGTGCCAAGAAGTACCAAAAAACACTGAATTCGCCCAAAATGCAGGACAAACGCCAAATAGAAAGACTACCGTTTGCGCTTACTTCCGTATCATCATTTCAGCCATAGGACGTCCACTGCTGAACATAGGCCTTCCCCAATGATTTCCACAATGGCCGGTTAGGGGCGGCCTGCATCCAGCGCCTTCCCGCTACCTTCATGAGGTCATCGTTCCACCTTGTGGGTGGACGGCTTACGCTGCGCTTTCCAGTACGTGGCCTCCACTCCAGAACCTTGCTGCCCCATTGGCCGTCAGTTCTGCGTACTATATGCCCTGCCTATTGTCTGCTATGTCAGCGACTTTAGTTCGTTTACGGATCTCCTCATTTGTGATTCGTTTTCGTAGAGATTTTTGCTTGTGCCCTATCAAAAAGAGAATAGGGATGTTTCCTGGGTCAAAAAGCAAGAGTTTTAATTAGTCCGTCAGTTAACTTATCAAAAAATACTCTACACGTATTTTTCACTTTTGCAAACTAATGAAAATTTAAAGAGTTAAAGCGCGCCAAAGTTCATAAGAAGAGGCCCATGACGTCAATGCGTGCATAAAAGTGCCGCACGTTGTGACGTCGTGCGGAACTTCAACGCACCATAACTATGTAATTATTTGTTAGATTGACAAATAAAAATATATGTGTCCAATATTTTTTGATATTAAACATGACGGACTAAAAAATTTTTTTAGGAAACTAGCCTATTATAGAATGTAATCAATGCCAAGAAAAGTAGGTATCATTTGAATTGTATTCCAATTGCTCATAGAGTGTATGTACCAGAACAGGATGACGATTCCTTTTTGTGTCATTTATGATGATAAAATTAGAGTAACACTGATTCATCTGATGATGAAGTGGATTATTATTTGCTGCTGTCTATAAAGAAGCCAAAAAACAAGGGCTTGATTAGATAGTTTTGTTTTTATTTGTTTATTTGAGACTTATATTGAAACTATAGCTCCTAGGTTTGAAATATTCACTTTGTATATGAGTAAATTATATTGTTTCACGACTGATCTCATACAGTTTTAGATAACGTTGTGTTTTTCATGTTATATTGATTTCTTTAGCTGTAATACATTATTTTTTTCTGTGGCCAGTAACTAGCATGCATATGGCCAGTTACAGAATTTTATGGCCAATAACTAGGATTATTCGTATGTTTTTGAATTAAATAAAAATATACATTCAAAAATTGTTTAATTGTACTTCATGAAGCCATAAGGTTAAAAAGTAAGATTTCCTGGTCATGTTGATGTCTGTTTTTTGTTAATAAGTTATCGCACTAAGAAACCGTAAAGCTTTGAAGTGGCCAAGAGGCTTAAGTGGCCAGTAACTAGTCGATTTACCCTAACTTAGTTGAACTGAGTAAACTTAACTCAGAGATTGTACTATTAAATTAAAACTAAAATAGCAATTTCTATAATTTGGCTGGCATTAGTTCGGCGAAAGTCAACTTTTTTCTCAAAAAATCTACTTTGTATTCATTTTCAGGGAGAAAACATTGCAAAAAGAAGTGAGTTATCAGACCTGTAATGCCCCAAATTGTATGTTTTTCATTGAAAAAAATTGGCAGAATATTTTTTTCGTAAAGATTATGCGCGTGGTTGGTCGGGTCACAGAAAACCTCCATGGGGATCGTGAAAATCTCTTCCACCTCATCCAAGTTGGGTTTCAATTTGTTCACGTCAAAATTCTTAACAAGTCCCACGACTGGCGAGATGAGAACTTCCTTGTTTCGGCCAATCACTTTTGGCATTTCACTCCACACGTCTATATCGGCCTTGGGGATACCTATTTCTTCTTCTGTTTCCCTCAGAGCTGTGTCAAATATCGTCTCGTTCTCATCCATTTTCCCACCGGGAAATGACACTTGTCCACTGTGATTTTTCAGTTTTGAAGACCTCAGAGTATACAGAAGACACACTTTTCCCTTATCAACACATATTGGAACCAGAACAGCTGCAGACTGCTTCGTCTTTAAGTTAAATATGATTGGCAATTCCTTTAACTTTGCTATGCATCGTTCTCTAGCTATGCTAGATAGCAACACTTGCGGGGATAGTGACATATTCAAAGCAACTTTTTTAGAAATTAATTTACTACATAATACGCAAAATGTATGTGAAATTAGAGGCAAAATAAGATAAAATTCGCTGTCCAAAGTCTATTTCGTTCGCGAATCACAAATTTTCTGACTTCTGTCAAAAACACATGCTTTTGACAGTTATTACTCATTATTTTTCCTGACAAAGATATTAAAATCTATACAGCTTTTATGAAGATCTATAGATTCATTAATTTATTTTAAAAAAGGATTTAAAACAAAAGGTTTTAATTAAAAATAAATTACTTTTGACATTTTGACGAATAAAAACATTTGACATTTACATATCCCGCATAAAATGAAAACATAAAAAAATATTTTTTCAAAAACATCAATTTATCTAATAGATCGATATTATGAAATTGGTATACCGGCTATAAGAATGTGTGCTTTCACCGTACAAAATATATTTTCGTTAGCATGTCGCGACCGGTGCATGGCTAAGTTGAGGACATTGATTCCTCTTCCTTCACACGGTAAACCCCCTAATTCTACAGCCGCTGTACTAGTGCCGCTCTGCCGGGTCGAAGGAGTACCTTCTCTACTGTATACTGTGCGATCCGCAACTTTTCGACCAGACGTCATCTACAGCGGACAAATAACATTCCCAGGAGGCAAATGTGAAAAAGACGAAACGGCCGTACAAACCGCTTTGAGAGAAACTAAAGAGGAGCTAGGCCTACCCTCTGAAAAGATAAATGTATGGGGCCAAGGTCCAGCTATTCCCAGCCAAACTAACGAGTTCATGATCACACCAGTCATCGGAGCCCTTCAAGAATTAAAGCCGACAGACTTGATGATCAACATAAATGAAGTTGCTGAAGCTTTCACTGTTCCCATAGCCCATCTTTGTGACCCGAAGAACCAATTTTATACGCAATTCAGCAATGGCTACATCTTACCTGTGTTTATTGCTGAAGATTACAAAATCTGGGGAATCACCGCGTATATTACACACGCGTTTTTGACTTGTGCTTTGTCGAAAAACGTTTATCATAATGAATGGCTAAAGAAGAAAATTGACATCAAAAGTGAATAGAAGAATATAATGCCTACCTTTATTTTAATGTGATCGTATTTATTAATCCTGTAAGAACCTTAAAATTACACGCACAATAAAACGCCAGATTTAAAAATGTTTTTATTGGTAGAAAAGCTATCAAATATCACCATTGAGCTGCGTATTATAGCTAATTTTATAAAAGTATTGCACTTACATTAATACTTCATAATAATAATAGGCAAGGCACTGCTAAGCAATAATAAATATAGAATTGATAAGAAAACCTATACACATACCTCAGAAAAGGATAGTAAATATTAAATATGATTGACACTTCTTGCACGGCTTCTTGTGCCGTGATATAGGAACAAGCTTTCAGGGAGTAGTTTTAAGTTGGTACCCCCTGTACCATGGAAGTTGTGCACTATCGTGAGGAGAATGTCTTGAAAACTAAATCATAATGTAGACAAAACAGGTGCCCGATATCTATGTGTAATTATGTGTAGTAAGCCTGCACTTTTGAAGATTCCTAAATAAAAAATAAAATAAATAAACCATAGTAAAATAAATGGCAAAGGAAAATAAAATAAAACTCAAACAAAAAATAATAATATTTATCCAGGTTTATTCCTTAACATTTACATTATAATCTAGTTAATATTTTATACATTGTCCAATCGACATGTTGATCGTCTCTCGCCCTTGTCTCTGTGTGTACTGCTTAATGAATTGATATTAAGTTAATATATTTTTCTAATACAATCAATTGTATGAGAAAGACATATTCCCTAACCGGAGAATTCCAAAATTTATATTAAATAGGTGGTCCAACTTAAAGCCTCACTTTATCATTCTATTGTAATTCTCACACATAAATAAACAAAAACATAAATAATGATATTTGTAATTAAATATAAATGAAAAATAAGTACTTAACGTAAATCTACCTTTAAAAAGGTAACCTTGAGGCAGGCAAGAGCACTCACAAAATGCTACTTATTGGTATAAAAACGTAAATAATTGTAAATTTAGAATCGACGCAGGATACAAAATAAGGCAGAGGCATTTAAAACAAAATGGCGGTGAAATTGTCTCAACTTCTAACCTAATCACTAATCTAGGGGAGTCCAAAAAAGAACAAATAAAATGAATACTGTAAACCAATCTTATATCTACCGTGAATATACATACAATACGATATAACTGATCGCCTATTCGTTGTGTTTGAACACTCATCTAATAACTATGTTATTCCGTGATGAAAGAACTGAAACATTTTCGTACGGACAAAGGTACACGCGTCTACATATTACGGTTTGTTAGAGTCAGAGCTAAGGTTGTCGCACAACTATTCATCGTCTGGTTGCTTATCTTACCCATTGCCAAATCGACCTTTTCATCTACGTAAGAAGGTTCTAAACACCTCGATTGATCGCTACAAGATTCCACGTTGCTAACAAGGCGAGCTGATGCCAGGTCGATTGATAAATGTGCGACGACCTTCAATAACTTCACTTGATTTGTTCAGCACCTCTGCCGGGCGTTTATACAGCAATTTGATTAAAACATAAATACTTAGCGGTTCTCAAAACCGCTTTAAACCAAAACGCTAATGGCCACTATCACCTCTCACTTTGCCTTCGATATTGACACGAACCGATATTCGGATGTAACAAGAGAGGATATTATAAATTAATTAACTTTTTTTTCCTTGCAACACTGACGATGAAAAATATCGTATAAGGTTTTGAATTTACGGTTGTGAACCGGTTTGAATAGTGTTGTCCAAAGGCAAGAAGATAATAATATGTTTATAACCTTGATCGATATTTTTCATCGTCTCAAAAATGCCAAATAAAATCGCTCATCAACCCACAACAGCTATCCATCCGATCGTAACTTTGTATTTCAATTGCACCGAACCAAGCATTCAATCTCAATTTCTAGTCTAGTCTAGTACCGACATTAAAAAAAAGACTACTTTATAAAAATATATTACTGTCTCTTTCTGATAGGGCGTGGGGCGAGCGGGCGGCCCTCGGTACAATGCGTTGCACTCTCGGCTAGCGTTACAACATACAGCTCGACCGATATCTTAAGATCGGTGTTCTTTTTGAGTACATACCTACAAGAAATCCTGGAAATTATATCTCGCGATTTCCGTTTATCCATTGATTTTCGCCAAAAATCCACCGGTCTTAACAATTCGGTCAGTGTATTTTTCAATTCAAATTGACACCACGTAAATTTTATAAACATTAAATTCTATCAGTAAAATGTGGATATGATTTTGATTTTAAAAATAAAATATTGCTATAATTTTAATCCGACTAAATATCTTAACATTTTATCACTTTTGAAACTAAAAATAATTATTATGTCAATAAAAATTGGACTTGTTTTACAAACCATAGACTTTTGCCACACATTTTGAGGCGTACGGACGGCTTAAGGCGTTGGCGCTAGGAGCTACTGAAAGTTTATGACGCTGTCAGACACGCGAGTTTAAAAGATATGACGACTTTTTGGAAGTATTTTTTTTAGATTAAGGTATAATAATTACCTCAATGATATTATTAAAACTGATTTTTCATACCTCACGCGCCGCAGCGCCATCTATTGTAGCCCCCGCCGAGAAATGCAAAGAAACAGCACGTAGTGTATGCTAAAATAACGGTGGACATTCGATTTCCCGCCTAATGTGTATTGTACCAAGGCTCAGTTCGCTCCGCGGCGTTAGTCCGCGTGATTCTCGCTCACGTCGACAGGGATAGATGTCGTGAACGTCGGCGTCTCGAGTTCTTCGTGTTTCTTCATTTTCAGCGCCTGTAATGAGCAATTTTTAACTTAGTTTGCATACGAATAGAGATCATTTTCAACCCCCGACAATTTGCATGTAGCAATAACGGACCAGTACAATTTGGCCAATAGATGACGTTTGTTTATCGAACAATCAGAAACTACCAAAGTAAAAAAGTTTCTAAAACTTTGAAAAATAATGCTGTTTTGACGATTGATATTTACCATACTTTTAATTAAAGAAATTATACGTATTAAAATAACAAGTTTTTTTACAAATATTTTACAGGTAATAATTTGACTTTTGCACACCTTGTTAGCTGTAGGTATAAAAATTAAATACAAAATAGTTTGTTAAACAAAAAAAGAAAGAAACCAAGTGAGAAGAATTAGAAAGAAGGAACATATGTCCCTAAACACATCAAACTTTTTTAGTAGACCCGAGCCTCATTTTTTTTGGTAAATGTTAAATTACTGCTTTGGCTCATTTGTGTTTTGTTTTATTTCTAACTTAAAGCATAACGTGGGTTGTTAAGTTAAATCGCATTAAAATATTCCCCAAGTAGGTAGATTAAGCCAGTGAGCTAATGTACAAAATGTTGTAGATACGACATTTCGCCTACATTGTGAGGTTTAGTAAAATAACACATTAAATTAGTAGTATGAATAAATGAAACTATTAAGTCAAATTATATCCCTATTAATTGTTCGACCTAATAACTTAATTCAGTAAAAGAACAAAAACATATTTTGTTTAAGAAATCTCTATGTTTAGGCATTTGGGTCTACCAATAGGTCACCCTGTATACTTATCTCATTATTTACACCATTTGATCCCTACTAACTAGGGATTCCCTAGTCTAGGAATTATTGAAAATTCTATACCGGAGGTATAAACTTATTTTAATTTCAACTACTTCTATCTACTTCATGTGTATTGCTAGATTAATCTTATGAGTGAACTAAACTTTAAAGTTACTTAAGTTACTGAATATGACGTTGAATACCGTGAACATAAAAATGGATTCCACAATTTGATGTATGAAGGTCTAGATACTAAGTTGGTTAAAATCTTCGGCCAGTTAAATCCAGCAGTTAGCGAATGTGGACATTACAGGGTGGATTATGAAGTGAGAAGGCGCCACTCTAACGAAACACACATGAGACAATTATTGTACCATAAGTTTACTGCTAGTTCTGTATAGCGGCAAAAATATTTTTAGGAAAAATGTTGAATGTTGACTGGGATATGATGCCAAATGGCATTAAGTTTGTCTTTAATAATAAGGATTAGTTGGATAAGTACTAGTGCTGTGCTGATTATCCTAAACTCAAATTATTGAGTTAGGCTGAAAAAACTAATAAATGAATTTGTGATAACTGTTTATTTCCACTATTACTCTAGCAGTATCACTAAACCAACTACAGGCACGGAAATGGTGCTTATCACTTTATGGTATAGTTACTAAAACACTCCTTAGTGCGCTATCAAAATGTCATAAAAATATTGCCATCGCTATTTAGAATCAAGCAGACAAACAACCTCAGCTTTTTCGAATATAGATTGTACGGGTTTTTGAATGGTCGCAAAATCCATCCATAGACAAAAATAGAAAATACAGGGTTATTTTAAAACAGTTGCAAAATTTTCAGGTAGAGCTCATAAGATTACCCACAACTTTTACTATGGGCTCAATGGTGATAGCGAGAAAATCTGATAAATATGTTCCTCCAGAATGTATTATCTTTCTCGCTTACTTGTGTATCTTTTGGTAAAAATCATACATGAGAGAGTAAGAGGCCGATTGAGCATCAAGTCTCATTTGATCAAGTGTGGTGGTTACTCAACTGTTTTCGTATTTTCTGATCTATCTGACCATCTCTTTTACTCGTAGCAAGATGCTAGCACGAGTGGCAGTGACAATAAGATGTCTTTTGCGGAAACACTAAACCTGTGTCTGTCAATTCATCATCATATCAATGACAAATAATGAACTACAGTGGGTCTAGACAAAGTGCAAATTACAATCGCAAACCAGTCGAAAAGTGCTCGAAAAGCCCCTTTTTTGTATGGAGTTTTGACGGATTCGATTTTCGATTCGATCAAAAAGTGCGTTTTGTCTAGGGGGGCAGCAACCAAATCTACATTCGAAAACTTAAGGTCGGTACAAAATGGTAAGAAGTGGAAGTGTGAAAATGCCGTATCTACACGGTATTACAGTTAATGAGGCGATGCGAGTGACGTCACACCCACGTACCGTGTTCGTATCGCTAGGCCGCGCGGGCGCGGGCGAGAGGCCCAGGCCTTTCACCGACAACTGCAGGCGATAGTAACACGTATTACACAGGACAGAAGGTACAGAATTGTATAGACAGATTTTTTAACCCGAAGTCACTTAATTAATTTAAATACAAGGGACAGTGTTCATAGTTTTGAAGACGAAGGACAAGACTAGTGGATTAAAACAAAGTTATAATAAGTGACATAATAAACCAGGTTTTGGAAGAAAGTGCATAAAATTATAAAGTTGAAACCAATCAATAAATATGTAGAAGCAGAAGAAATATTACTTAGAAATAAAATAAATAAAGTAAAGATTCAATTTTAGTTGAATAGAATTATGTTTTCTTATTAGATCGTCTTTACAGTCAATCAAAATAAACATTTTAGTTAAAACTGTTTTTAGCTGAGGCCAATTGGTTTGTATGTAGGTGAATCCACTCCTAACACCAACATGTTATTTAATTTAGCTAAGATGCACGCCAAAATATAATCTTATCGATTTTAGATAAGATAAAAATGATCGATAAGATTTTATCTTGGCGCACATACCAGCTCAGCTGGAGGGTCTAACGGGAATATTAGTACACTACTTATACTCTTTCCAAACTAAATACTGTCTCAAAAGTCTGTGTACTGTTCACAATGTATTTTCAAAACATTATCCCGCAGCCTTTTAGGTTACTGCCTCGTCTCTAATTCATGTAACCCTGTATGTATGTCCTATACCCATAGACGTATATTTAGGGCGCCTTCAAATTAGAGGCGTGAGGAAGTACTGCAGTGGCGCCACTGTGGTACGTTTGCCTCACCACTTACTAGTTTTAATAGAGTTTGTAGAAGCGCAGTCGTAGCGCCACTAAATTTTTTTGTCACCGTGACAGTAAGTCTCTCCTTAGATAAGAATACAACCCGATCAAGCTAACTGCGCACGTCGTTGCGAATGCGACTTCCCTCCCAATAAATAAATATAAATAAATAAATCTTTGGACAATTTCACACAGCGCCAGCTAGCCCCAAACTAAGCAACTTAATGCTTGTGTTATGGGTGCTAGCTTAACGGATATACTACTTAGATACTTTTTTTTTTAAATACATAAATATTATACATAGTCACACCCAGACCCGTCACAGAAATTAAAATTCATCATTTCAATTTCTGCCCGGCCGGGAATCGAACCCGGGACCTCTCGGCATAGTAGTCCGTTCTGAACCACTACACCAAACGGCCGACAAATACCCGCACACCTCCCCGTTCGCCCCATCCATACCAGATCGTCAACGTGACGTCACGGCTGTTAGGTGTGCAGTTAACTCGACCGGGCTTGTAAATACTACGTTGTCTCTCTTTTTCTTTTTATAAAAGTGTAATACTGTCACAGTGACAAAAAATCACTCGTACGCGCATAGCCTAACCAAACGCGACGCCTCTATTTTTTTTAATGCATAATAAGGCAGGTATTTGACCGCAATCGCACCTGGTGTTAAGTGAGATGCAGTCTGGGATGGTACATATTCGTCGCTTGCCTCTCTAACTGACGTATCTGTCATTTTTTTCGAAACTGAGTTATCTACACCATCTTAAATAAATTCGCAAGACGAATCGATCTGTCTAATCGCCTGAAAATTTTGCAAAATGTCAGTTAGAGAGGCAAGCGACGAATATCTGCCCTGTAAGTGCCTATGCACTCTCGCCTAGAATTTGAAGGCGCCCCTTAGTAACTCTATATCCTATATGTAAATCTCACCTGTTGGAGTTTGTAATGGTTGATGATGTCCTGGTCGGCAGGGCAGCTCTGCGTGAACGCGTCCAACTGGTACATGTGGTACATGTAGCGCCAGAGCGCGCGGAAGCTCGTCTGGAACACAGATTATACGATACATTGTGGGATGCAACGGATTAGCAAGCTGAAGTGGCAGGGCACATAGTACGCAGAACTGATGGCCGATGGGGCAGCAAGCTTCTGGAGTGGAGGCCGCGTACCGGAAAACGCAGCGTGGGACGTCCACCCACAAGGTGGAGCGACGAAATCATAAAGGTAGCGGGAAGGCGCTGGACGCAGGCCGCTACCAACCGGGCCACATGGAAAGCATTGGGGGAGGCCTATGTTCAGCAGTGGACGTCCTATGGCTGAGATGATGATTGTGGGATGCAGCACAGATTCAAAACATGGTACGGAATGCAGACTATAAAACTTAAGGAATACAGATTATATAAAACATAATATGAAATACAGTACAGATTAAAAAACTAATAACTAAAGAACATGGAATACAGACTATAAACATAGAATATGGAATACAGATAAAAACATAAACATATAAAATAGATAGTTTCATCCACGAAGACGCGCCCCACCAATTTTGGTGGGGGTGGGGTGCGGGGAGTTTGATCCGAGCAATCCGAGCGTCCATTATTGTAGTGTGCGTGTGCACTCATTGATAAATTTAGCGTGTACCGACGACACTCAAACATTCGCGGAAGAATGGTGGAGCGCGCTTCGTGGATGAAACGATATACAGGGTGGCCAAAACAGTGAGGTCTAAAAGAAAAATTTAGATTCCTTACATCAAGGTGTACCTAAATCACCCCCATGTATGTAATACGATTGTGCTTAGTTTAGGAGATAGAGTTAATTTTGTGATATTTTAAAATTTTATGACCTAGTAGGCTTTAAACATTTTTATCTTTTTTTTTGGTTGACTTTTTTCAGATTTCTTTTTTTCGACGGAGGGATATTTGGTTTATGTTCATCAAAACTTACTTAAAATAACAATGTGTTCCGGAATTTGGAGGTAGGAAGCCATAGTTCCCCTGTAGTTGAAGTTCCCTTCCACCTTCAGCCTAATCATCAGTTTCCACCAGGTGTGATGAAGGGCAAGAGCTTCCTCGTTGAGAATAAAAACATGTTCTGTCCAGTTACTGCTTTAAATCTGTTCTACGTAATGTAAACTTAGAGGATTCCCAATATTAATTCACTCTAAGAAAGTCAAAAACATGTAACGGAATCTCCGACTTACCACTTTAGTGGACCGATTACAGGAAATAGTGGCCTATTAAGTACATGTTTTTTTGTATTATTATGAGAGTTCAGGAAACGGCGCAGTTTTTAAAATGGTTTTGGACCTATGGAAGTTCTTTTTTTTTACTTAAACTTTTAAGTTGATTTGATAGTGTTCTGATAAAAGCATAATTTTAATGTTTCTAGCAAAACTTTTGTATCTTAAATCAAAGATAGGAAGGTGATTTTTTTTTCAAACATCTGCAATTCACAACAAATCTGTCGAAAAAAAGAAATCTGAAAAAAGTCAACCCAAAAAAAAGATAAAAATGTTTAAAGCTTACTAGGTCATAAAATTTTAAAATATCACAAAATTAACTCTATTTCCTAAACTAAGCACAATCGTATAATATACATGGGGGTGATTTAGGTACACCTTGATGTAAGGAATCTAAATTTTTCTTTTAGACCTCACTGTTTTGGCCACCCTGTATAGTCATTAACAAACAATGTTTGTTAATTTATGTCCATTTCATAATAAACACTAATTGGTCTACAAGACAACCGACGCGAACGCCTCAACATGACCACGACCGCTCTGCCAAGAGTGAAACAACTAAGAAGAAGAAAAATCGTTGATGTAAATAATATTACTTTATTTTTATTTATTTCAGCATTTACATATGCGTGATAACTCACTCATTTACAAAGCGTGCCATTTGGCAATCGTTGCAAAAATTTTAGAGGCACGATGGGTATTGATACTAATACTAACGCAATGACGTAAGTGCTAATTGCAAGCCTTGTTTCAAAGAGGAATAGAACTTAAGAACCTTGGGCTTCGCCGCAGAGGAGCGGCAGTGACGTCACACATCAACAGTCAACTTGACAGCTGCTAATACTAGTTCCGTGACGAATCGTCGCGTCTTTCCGTTCTATACATGGCCAGAACGCACCCATAAGAAACTGCTCGTGTATATTTTGGAATGTCCCTTTGTAAATCGGTCACAACAAACTATACACGAATTTTGCGTACTGATCGTGTATAGTTTGTATCGTGGATGGATTCCGTCTTCGCTCCAAACTATACTACACCACTTACAGTTGACTAGAGTGTGTTTAGTTGATTTGATTTAGTAAAATATGGAATTATTACTTTTATTAGATATTATGCTCGTACTTTGTCCTCGAGATTAGAAATAAGAACTACCTATGTAGTACCTATCACGTACAGTGATGCCATGCTTAAATTAATTAATTATTACATAAAATATTATTATTTTACTGAATCTACATATAATAAATCTAGATTTATAACACTAATGTAAGTGGTTTCTGAAATTAAATTGATTAGGTAGATTTCAAATTAAATAACAATTATTTATTAGTGTAATCATAAATTCATTTAAAATGAGAGAGAGTGAATGAAGAAAGTTAAACGTGCATTATTAACTAAAATTGTCGACCGTTTGGTGCAGTGGTTCGAAACGGATAACTGTTCCGGAGGTAGCGGGTTNATAATACAATGTTCCTGTCACCCGTCAGTGTATCTGAGGTTAATCGAACGATAAAAAGCCTTAAAAGCAAATACAGTTATGGAATTGATCAGTTATCGCCAAAACTTTTAAAAAACTGCGCAGATGAATTGTCAATACCATTTCAAAAATTAATCAATCAATCGTTTACCGATGGCGAATTCCCCGACTTGCTAAAACAATCTATAGTAAAACCGGTTCATAAAAAAGGAGATCGTACAGACCCAAGTAATTATAGACCTATTTCTTTGCTACCAACATCTTCAAAAGTATTTGAAAAGGTTATGTGTGAGCGGTTGTACTCTTTCTGTGAGAAATATAGAATCTTTGATGCAAACCAAAACGGTTTCCGAAAAAACCATTCCACAACCTTAGCGGTCTATACATATATCCAAGAAATACTTGACATATTGAACAGAAAAAGCTATGCAGTAGGTATCTTACTTGATATGACAAAAGCGTACGATAAAGTTATGTATAATATACTATTAAATAAAATGTACGGCATCGGAATACGTGGACAGACATACAAATGGTTTAAGTCTTATTTGTCAAACCGAAAACAATACGTAGAAGTAGAATATTTTGACGAAAAAAATAAAAGTATAATATTTTCAAGATCAGACGTATTACAAATGTGTCAGTCTATACCTCAAGGAAGCGTCTTAGGTTGTGTCCTTTTTTTAATTTAAGTGGACCGATTACAGGAAATAGTGGCCTATTAAGTACATGTTTTTTTGTATTATTATGAGAGTTCAGGAAACGGCGCAGTTTTTAAAATGGTTTTGGACCTATGGAAGTTCTTTTTTTTTACTTAAACTTTTAAGTTGATTTGATAGTGTTCTGATAAAAGCATAATTTTAATGTTTCTAGCAAAACTTTTGTATCTTAAATCAAAGATAGGAAGGTGATTTTTTTTTCAAACATCTGCAATTCACAACAAATCTGTCGAAAAAAAGAAATCTGAAAAAAGTCAACCCAAAAAAAAGATAAAAATGTTTAAAGCTTACTAGGTCATAAAATTTTAAAATATCACAAAATTAACTCTATTTCCTAAACTAAGCACAATCGTATAATATACATGGGGGTGATTTAGGTACACCTTGATGTAAGGAATCTAAATTTTTCTTTTAGACCTCACTGTTTTGGCCACCCTGTATAGTCATTAACAAACAATGTTTGTTAATTTATGTCCATTTCATAATAAACACTAATTGGTCTACAAGACAACCGACGCGAACGCCTCAACATGACCACGACCGCTCTGCCAAGAGTGAAACAACTAAGAAGAAGAAAAATCGTTGATGTAAATAATATTACTTTATTTTTATTTATTTCAGCATTTACATATGCGTGATAACTCACTCATTTACAAAGCGTGCCATTTGGCAATCGTTGCAAAAATTTTAGAGGCACGATGGGTATTGATACTAATACTAACGCAATGACGTAAGTGCTAATTGCAAGCCTTGTTTCAAAGAGGAATAGAACTTAAGAACCTTGGGCTTCGCCGCAGAGGAGCGGCAGTGACGTCACACATCAACAGTCAACTTGACAGCTGCTAATACTAGTTCCGTGACGAATCGTCGCGTCTTTCCGTTCTATACATGGCCAGAACGCACCCATAAGAAACTGCTCGTGTATATTTTGGAATGTCCCTTTGTAAATCGGTCACAACAAACTATACACGAATTTTGCGTACTGATCGTGTATAGTTTGTATCGTGGATGGATTCCGTCTTCGCTCCAAACTATACTACACCACTTACAGTTGACTAGAGTGTGTTTAGTTGATTTGATTTAGTAAAATATGGAATTATTACTTTTATTAGATATTATGCTCGTACTTTGTCCTCGAGATTAGAAATAAGAACTACCTATGTAGTACCTATCACGTACAGTGATGCCATGCTTAAATTAATTAATTATTACATAAAATATTATTATTTTACTGAATCTACATATAATAAATCTAGATTTATAACACTAATGTAAGTGGTTTCTGAAATTAAATTGATTAGGTAGATTTCAAATTAAATAACAATTATTTATTAGTGTAATCATAAATTCATTTAAAATGAGAGAGAGTGAATGAAGAAAGTTAAACGTGCATTATTAACTAAAATTGTCGACCGTTTGGTGCAGTGGTTCGAAACGGATAACTGTTCCGGAGGTAGCGGGTTCGATTCCTGCGCAGTACAAACATTAATTTGTGTGCATGAACATATTTTTTTGTATTGGACTGGGTGTCTTTTAAGTATAATAAGTATGTATTTACAAAAAAAAAGTATTTAAGTATGTTTATATCCGTTATCTACTACCCATAGTACAAGCTTTGCTTAGTTTGGGACTAGAAGCGCAGTGTAAAATGTCCAGGGATATTTATTTTTATTTATTAGCTTTTATCTCAAGAACAAAATCATTTTGACATACATAATTCTTAATTTAAGAGTTATTGGAGAATTAATAAAATATCAGCCCCAAAACAAATATATTTTCTATGGCAGAATACAAACACCAAAAAACTCAGTTATGAATTAATATGTAATAGAAAGAGAGGTAAATAAGTCAAAACGACGAGCATGCAACTACTCGCGTATACATTGTAATCGCGAACTTATTACAATACCTACATACATGATTAGTCCGTATGCGTACTGACGATGTATATTTTGGAGGAAGATAATTGACCTAAGTCACTACAAAGTATACGCGAGCAGTATCTACGCAGCGTATGCGTACTGGTCGTGTATAGTTTGGAGGAGCTTAGTAAAAAAAGTCATCTCCAAACTATACTCGATTAGTTTCACACCCTTGCGTTCTGGCTATGTATAGAATGGAAAGACGCCGTCTCGTCACCTTTTCGCTTCGTTGGCTATGTGTAAGGCTTTAACTCTGCCTTGACCTTCTAAGATCGTGTTTGACACGGTTTTAGACCTCAGCCTGTTTTTAGGTTTTTAAGTTCTCTTTTGGAATGACATCAGGCTAGTAAAGTTGGCGCCTAAGTGACGTCATAGTTTTGTCATAAGTGTAGTGTTAAAGTTATACTGTATAACCTGCTTTAAACGCTTTGTATGTTATGGTTGTATCCCTGTTTTGTGCACCAAATAAAATAAATAATAAATAAAGAGTTTTTTAAAAAGCTAATTAGGTACAGAAAATAAATGCATTTTATTGTACTGGTGGTAAGAGGGTATACAGACTACAGTACACCCCTATTATGGACCGGTGTTAACTCTTGTGGACTGTCTGATAGCTCGTAGCTCACACAGGTCTATTAGCTCATAGCTAACATAGTTCAATAGCTCATAATATAGTTCAATATCCCAAAGTCCAGATAGTTCGATAGCTCGTAGTTCACATAGTTCAATAGCTCTAGCTCATTAGCTCGTAACTCACATAGTTCAATGGCTTATAGTTCACATACTTAGTTCAATAGCTCATTGCTCACCTAGTTCAATAGCTCTTAGCTCACATAGTTCAATAGCTCATAGCTCACGTAGCTCACTAGCTCGTATAGTTCAATAGCTCATAACTCACATAGCTCAATAGCTCATAACCCACATATTTCAGAAATAGCTCATAGTTCAATAGCTCCTAGCTCCTATAGTTCAATCAATAGCTCATATCGTACGTACCGGGATCTCGAAGTCGACGAAGTACTTGCCGGCGACGCGGATGTGCTGCAGCCGCGGCATCAGCTCGCAGTCGAAGCAACACATCGTGTCGCCGGTCAGGAACCTGAGGGCAAGGGAAAATAGATTTTAAAGCCCGGTCTGCGAGCACGTAGAATTTTGTCCAATGACCCCAAGCTACCCATCTTTATCGCTCGCGCGTAATTATTTTGCTATCGCGTCTGTGTGACGGGCGCCCGCAGTGAGTCTGCGCAGATCAGACTATAGTAACGTACAGGTTAGGAGTTTTAAGATTCATTATGCTATGATTTTGATGAGATGAATTAGACGTACGAGGAGATAGTGTGGGTGTGTTTCATTTAAATGAGGTTGAAATGTCGTGGGGACAATTTGTAAAATCATCAGCGTAAAATCAATCAGGACGTTGGTTCCAGCCTACTGGTAAATCCCCCACTAGATTTGTGACCCAAGTTTGTCAGCCTTGGGCCCAGCCCACTGGTAAATCTATCAGTCTGCCACTGGGCTGGTGGGTATACTGACCTCGTGGCCCTGCGCTCCAGCAGCGCGTCGATGCGTGCGATGATCAGCACTAGCACCAGCTTCAGCTTAGACTACAGGTTCTCGATCCAGACGAAAAGAAACCAGATGAAAAGCGACGCTCCAACTAGTGGTAAATTCGCTACTGGGTTGGCAACCCAAATTTCCTGCCGTAAGCTACAGTCTACTGGTAAATCCGCCACTAGATTGGTGACCCAAGTTTGCCAGCCTTGGGTCCAGCCTACTGGTAAATCCGCCACTAGATTGTTGACCCAAGTTTTCCTACTGGCAAGTCTGCCAGCCTGCCACTGGGCTGGTGGGTGCACTGACCTCGTGGCCCTGCGCTCCAGCAGCGCGTCGATGCCGCGAGGTGGTGTGTACAGTATGCACAGACGCAGCGTTATGCCATAGTCACCTCTTACCACAGTCAAGGAACCACACAACTAATACTGTTTAGGCTAAAGCTGACTGCTAAATTCTCCACTGGGTTGATCCCTTAAGTTTGCCGCCTTAGGAGCTGCTGTACTGGCGCACGAGGTGCGCGTGGTGTGGTACAGTATGCACAAACGTAGCGTTATGCTATAGTCACCTCTTACCACAGCCACGGAACTGCAGGAACCACACGGCTAATACTGTCTAAGCTGCAGCTGACAGCTAAATCCTCCACAGGGTTGTCCACTGTGGTTGCAGCCCTAGGAGCTAATGCACTGACCTCGTGGCCCTGCGCTCCAGCAGCGCGTCGATGCGTGCGAGGATCAGCACTAGCACCAGCTTCAGCTTGGAATACAGGTTCGAGAACCTGATCGATATGATATCAGCGTTAGCGTGTGCCGATGACACTCAAACATTAGCGGAAGAATGGTGAGCCGCGTCTTCGTGGACGGAACGATCTATAGTGGTAAGCTATGGGCTGGTGGGTGTACTGACCTCGTGGCCCTGCGCTCTAGCAACGCGTCGATGCGCGCGAGATTCAGCACTAGCACCAGCTTCAGCTTCGCAGGATCAGCGTTAGCGTGTGCCGATAACACTCAAACATTAGCGGAAGAATGATGGGCGCGTCTTCGTGGATCGTTCCATCCACGAAGACGCGCCCCTATCTATAGTGGTAAGCTATGGGTTGGTGGCTTTGGTGGGTGCACTAACCTCGTGGCCCTGCGCTCCAGCAGCGCGTCGATGCGCGCGAGGTGCGCCCGCAGCGCCGCCGACTTCTGCTCGTCCTTGCGCACTAGCACCAGCTTCAGCTTGGAGTACAGGTTCGGCCCTACTCAATAGTGCAAACCGCAAGATGATAGCCCAGTAAATGAAAAGCGACTCTCCAACTGCTGGTAAATTCGGTACTTGGGTTGGCGCTCCAGCTCCAGCCTACCAGTAAAATCTCCACTGGGATCCCAAGTTTCTTGCCGTAAGCTCCAGCCTACTGGTAAATCCGCCGCTAGATTGGTGAACCAAGTTAGCCAGTCTTGGTTCCAGCCTACTGGTAAATCCGCCACTAGATTGGTGAACCAAGTTAGCCAGCCTTGGTTCCAGCCTACTGGTAAATCCGCCACTAGATTAGTGAACCAAGTTAGCCAGCCTTGGTTCCAGCCTACTGGTAAATCCGCCACTAGATTGGTGACCCAAGTTTGCCAGCCTTGGGTCCAGCCTACTGGTAAATCCGCCATTAGATTGGTGACCTAAGTTTTCCAGCCTTGGGTCCAGCCTAATGATAAATCCGCCACTAGATTGGTGAACCAAGTTTGTCAGCCTACTGATAAATCTGCCAATAGATTGGTGACCCAAGTTTTCCAGTCTTGGGTTCAGCCCACTGGTAAATCTGCCAGCCTGCCACTGGGCTGGTGAGTGCACTAACCTCGTGGCCCTGCGCTCCAGCAGCGCGTCGATGCCGCGAGGTGCGCGTGGTGTGGTACATTATGCACAAATGCAGCGTTATGCCATAGTCACCTCTTACCACAGCCACGGAACTGCAGGAACCACACGGCTAAACTGTCTAAGCTCCAGCTAATTGGTAAATCCTGCAGCTGACAGCTCCTCCTGGGTTGTTCCGCTAAGTTTGCAGCCCTAGGAGCTAATGCACTGACCTCGTGGCCCTGCGCTCCAGCAGCGCGTCGATGCGCGCGAGGATCAGCACTAGCACCAGCTTCAGCTTAGAATACAGGTTCTCGATCCAGACGAAAAGAAACCAGATGAAAAGCGACGCTCCAACTACTGGTAAATTCGGTACTGGGTTCGCAACCCAAATTTACTGCCGTAAGCTACAGCCTACTGGTAAATCCGCCACTAGATTGGTGACCCAAGTTTGCCAGCCTTGGGTTCAGCCTACTGGTAAATCCGCCACTAGATTGGTAAACCAAGTTCACCAGGCTTGGGTCCAGCCTACAGGCAACTTGGCAAGTCACCAGCCTGCCACTGGGCTGGTGGGTGCACTGACCTCGTGGCCCTGCGCTCCAGCAGCGCGTCGATGCCGCGAGGTGGTGTGTACAGTATGCGCAGACGCAGCGTTATGCCATAGTCCACCTCTTACCACAGTCACGGAACCACACGACTAATACTGTTTAGGCTCCAGCTGACTGCTAAATTATCCACTGGGTTGATCCCTTAAGTTTGCCGCCTTAGGAGCTGCTGTACTGGCGCGCGAGGTGCGCGTGGTGTGGTATAGTATGCACAAACGTAGCGTTATGCTATAGTCACCTCTTACCACAGCCACGGAACTGCAGGAACCACACGGCTAATACTGTCTAAGCTCCAGCTGACAGCTAAATCCTCCACAGGGTTGTCCACTGTGGTTGCAGCCCTGAAAGTCGGTATACTGACCTCGTGGCCCTGCGCTCCAGCAGCGCGTCGATGCGCGCGAGATTCAGCACTAGCACCAGCTTCAGCTTGGAATACAGGTTCGAGAACCTGATCGAGATTAGCGTTAGCGTGTGCCGATGACACTCAAACATTAGCGAAAGAAGGGTGAGCCGCGTCTTCGTGGACGGAACTATCTATGTATAGTGGTAAGCTATGGGTTGGTGGCTTTGGTGGGTGCACTGACCTCGTGGCCCTGCGCTCCAGCAGCGCGTCGATGCGCGCGAGATTCAGCACTAGCACCAGCTTCAGCTTCGCAGGATCAGCGTTAGCGTGAGCCGATAACACTCAAACATTAGCGGAAGAATGATGGGGCGCGTCTTCGTGGATTGTTCAATCCACGAAGACGCGCCCCTATCTATAGTGGTAACCTATGCGGCTGAACCATTTAAGAACCTAGTAAGGGACACTTTTTCAGATTTTCGTTTTTTGTCATAAATCACCTTAGAATTAAGGTCTCCACAGGATGTGAAGACAGAAATCGCTCTATTACACTTAACACCGGAGAAACGCGTTGCTAAAAACCTAGTAAGTCCAATTCAAATCTGCAAAAACCATTATCAAAACCTAGCAAGTTACAATGACCATTTGAAACCTAGTAAGTGCATGGACTTACTAGGTTTCAAAATGGTCAATGTGACTTACTAGAGGA